TATCACCTTTAGCATCCCCTTCGGCCTTTCTCTTGGGCATGGTGGCGACAGCGGCAGGTCACAGGTGCTAGACACGAGATGCAGCGTCGCGCAGCTTTGGGCGGCCCGGGGGTCATCCTCGCTTCTTCCTATTGTACATTTTGGATCTTAGTTGCTTTTTCAACTTCTCACACTAAGAAGACAATATGGATTTTTTTTTTTTTTTTAAAGAGTGGGAAGGGGCTGGTGAGATGGCTCAGTGGTCTAAAGCACCTACTTAGAACAAGCTCAGCAAAGCACAAGGACCACGGTTCAATCCCCAGCACCACATGCCAGCCAGCCCTGCCCCCTGGTGGGCTGAGCTGGCCACACACACACACACACACAAATAAATAAATAAACTTTAAAAAAAAAAAAGAGTGGGAAGAAGGGCCAGTGAGATAGCTCATCAGACCAAGCGCCTGCTGTGGCAAGTAGAGGGACCAGTGTTCAAAAAGAGTGGGAAGAATTTGAGAGAAAAAAGCTTTTGTTTGAGAGAGACAGGAAAAGGCCTGGAAGGCTGCTCCTACAATTATATGTGTATCTGTGGTTTATTTCACTTAATTAGTATCTACCACTGAGCTTTATCCCCAACCCTTAACTGGCTTTATTTTCTATTCTTTTTTTTTTTTTTTTTTTTTTTTTTTTTTTTTTTTTTGCAGAACCGGGGATTGAACTCAGGCCCTTGAGCTTGCCAGGGAAGCACTTATTCCGCTGAGCCGTCTCCCCGGCCCCTATTTTCTATTCTGTTCCATAAAATAGAATAAATGTTCCAATGGGCTGAGCATAGAGTGTTTGTTTGCTTATGGAAACTGAACTCAAGGCCTTTCCTCTGAGCTCCTTCCCCCACCCCTTTGATAAAAATTTGGGACAGAGCTCACTGAGTCACCAAATTGCCTAGTGATTCTTAAACATGTCACCTTCCTGCCTTAAGCCTTCTGATGCTGAGATTACAAGCATCTATCTCATTTCTTATCTAGACTGGAATTCCTAGGAGTTGTGTGTTCTCTTAGACCAGTTATGGGGCCCTTTGTCTATGAGTCTGATTATTTGTAGTAATTGAGGCTGGAGAATCCTTAGCTCTTTGCATCTTTTTTTCTTTCTTTCTTTCTT